AATACATTTTGGGATGCCATTTTCGTAATTTTTTGAGCAATTTTTTTGAATAGCTATTTTCCTTGGATTTTGAAGGATAAAGATGGTGGATTTGGCCTGATGTTATTCTTGATAAACAGACAGTTCAACTACAATGTTAAAACCATTAGGAGTGATCAGGGAAAGGAATTCCAGATGACTGATTACTTTGCTGAGCATGGCATTCTCCATGAGATGTCATGCATTGAAACCCCACAACAAAATAGCAAGGTAGAAAGAAAACACCAACATATTTTAGCAGTGGCAAGAGCATTAAAATCCAAGCTAATCTTCCTATTGGTTTCTGGGGAGACTGTGTCAACCATGTTGTGCACCTAATCAACAGAGTCCCCACCCCAGTCCTAAACAATCTCACACCATACCAAAAACTACATGACAAACCCCCTGATCTCCAAGACTTAAAAGTCTTTGGCTGTCTATGCTATGCATCAACCATCACTAGCCATAGAACCAAATTCCAGGAGAGAGCCAGGAAAGGGGTCTTCCTAGGCTACACTCCTGGGGTAAAGGGGTACAAAATATATGATCTAAACTCTCATGACATCTTTCTGTCTCGAGATGTTCAGTTCTATGAACATGAATTCCCCTTCCAACAAACCACCACTGATTCACCAAACACAGTTCCCTCCATTCCTACTCATACATACCCTATTCCACCTCCTCCTATTCCAGATGAACATCCACATCCACCTCCTCCCCATGAATCAGACCTATCTCCCACTCCCCAACAACCTACTTCTCCCAATCCTCCTTCCATTGATTTACTTATAGCCATTAGGAAACTAACCAGAACAATCAAACCACCCACTAAGCTCCAAACTTACCATTGCAACCTACTTCAGCAGGCTTCTTCCTCTAGTCACTCTCTATAGCAACATGCTCCAGGTATCACCTATCCCTTGTCTGATGTCATTGATTACACTGGTTTATCTCCATCATATCTCAAATTCATCTTGAGAATCTCTAGTCACAAAGAACCAGAATCATATGAAGAAGCTGCCCTTAGACCTGAATGGAACCAAGCAATCAATCATGAAATTGATGCTCTTGAACTGAATCAGACATGGGATGTTGTTTCCTTACCTCCAGACAGGAAACCACTTGGAAACTAGTGGATCTTCAAGTACAAATTTCTCTCTGATGGCAGCCTGGAAAGAGAAAAGGCAAGATTAGTTGCCAAGGGATACAATCAACAAGAGGGCATAGACTATCAGGATACTTTTGCCCCTGTGGTTAAAATGACAATAGTCAGGCTGTTTCTGGCTATAGCAGCTTCTCACTCATGGCATGTACATCAATTGGATGTAAACAATGCTTTCTTACATGGGGATCTCACTGAAGAAGTCTATATGAAACTGCCCAAAGGATACAAACCACCACCCCACATCAAGAACCCTGTTTGCAGTCTTAAAAAGTCTCTCTTGGTCTGAAGCAGGCTTCTAGACAGTGGTCCTCCAAACTGGCTGACTGCCTCATTTCTCATGGTTACACATCAAGTCAGGTTGATCATTCTTTGTTCTTCAAATCTCAAGGTTCTAATTACACATGTGTCCTAGTCTATGTAGATGGTCTGGTTGTGGGAGGCACTGATCTGGCTGAAATTACCATACTCAAACATTATCTCCATCAGACATTCAGTATCAAGGACTTAGGTCCTCTCAAGTTCTTTCTTGGCGTTGAGGTTGCCAAAAACTCTTCTGGCATTCATCTCTCTCAAAGGAAATACACTCTGGAAATCCTAGAAGAAGGGGAGGTGCTCCTATCCAGACATGTTTCCACCCCGATGGATCACAAAATACACCTCACAGCCACTCATTCTGATGCCTACCCTGATTCTTCTTTCTACAGAAGACTTGTTGGCAAACTTATATATCTCACCACAACCAGACCATATATTAGCTTTGCCACGCAACAGCTCAGCCAGTACATATCCAATCCAAGCAATCAACACTATCAGGCAGTCACAAGAGTTCTCAGATACCTCAAAAGCACCCTCTACTGGTTTATTCTTTCCAACATCCTCTTCACTCCAACTCAAATCATTCAGTGACTCAGACTGGGCATCTTGTATGGACACCAGAAGATCAGTGACTGGTTATTGCGTTTACCTGGGCAATGCTCTCATCTCCTGAAAAAGCAAGAAACAAAGGACCATCTCCAGATCCTCTTGTGAGGCAGAGTATAGGGCCATGGCTGACATAACCTGCGAACTTCAATGGCTTCTATATCTCCTCCACGACTTCCAGGTACCCCATCCCCAACCTGCAATCATTTATTGTGACAATCAATCAGCGATTCACATCGTTGAAAATCCCACCTTCCACGAAAGAACAAAGCACATCGAATTAGACTGTCACCTGGTCAGATAAAAATTGCAGACTGGGACTGTCAAGCTACTTCATGTTTCAACCCTTCACCAGCTCGCCGACCTATTCACGAAGCCGCTCCCACCAGCAATCTTCTCCAGTCTCCTCTCCAAGCTTGGTGTGCACAATCTGTGCCCACCAGCTTGCGCGGGGGGGGGGGGGGGGTATCAGACGAAAATGTCAATTTTTTGCCCCAAATTGTAACGGCTACTAAGCCAACTCGGTGGAGCGACGTCGTCTCGGGAAAAGCTTCAAGTTCATCAGCTGCAACGGTGTCGTCTCGGATAGTGGAGAAGACTCACAGCGAAACGTCGCCGTAGCACTCCAACGTCTCTTTCACTCTTTTGTTTATGTTCCCTCCAAACTTTGCATTCTCTGATTTCACAGTCTGTAAACCCAATCAAGAGCTGTTTGTCTTCTACTGATCAATCTCTGTATATAGGCAACACAATCATCAATGAGAAAGTCAATTTAGGGTTTCAATTGCACATCTGGTATTATTCTTTTCTTAATTTGGTATCCGGGTTTTGGTTTTTGGTCTTATAAATCTATATATAATTTAGTGAGTGGTTGGTTGACTTTTTGAAGTTCCTCCTTGCAATTATTTATGGTTTTGTTGTTGAAATGTTGATTCTATGATCTTCGTGATTTGAATATGTAGATGACACAAACACAGACGCCACCGGTTCCTGACGTAACCAGTTTAAGAAAGAATAAAAACATGCTTTACGGAATTGGGAATGGAGATGGTGGTAGTTCAGCTAAGTAACAGGCTAATAGCCATGGTGATTACTCAACATAAAGGGACCTAGAAATGTGCCACGACGAGTGGTGTATATATATATTATATGGCTCTAAATGAGATAGGTTGTTTATACGTAGTAAATTGTATTTACTCAAAATGAAAAATAACGAGGTTTTATTTTTTAAATCTGACATCCAACTGATATGAAGCATCGTTAACGGTATTATTATTAGTAACTAATCAACAACTAAATGTTTTAGTGTTATGAAACAGTGAGAATGATATTTACTTTAACATTCCGAATCTTTTCCAACAAGGTATTGTCTAATTTGGTTTTAAACCTTCACATATTTTGCCGTGTGGTGTATATCAATGTGACTTCTCATTAGGTCACACATCCTCGTAGTGCTTTATACTAAACACGTTACTTCGGAATTCGTACAAAAAATTTTCCGTTTCACGCCAAAATGCGTCTTATCAGTTTCTTACTTAGGAATCATGAATTTCTCCCATACTTTATCAATATGAGATTCGCTTACCTTACATTTGTTTTAAAACAAAAGTTGTAAAATAGTTTATTTTTTAACGGGATTAGATAGCGTCACTTCCCCTAAGGGGAAGTGAGTTTCGCTTCCTCCTTCGCAGCCATTAGATCCACTCTCTCTCTCTCTCTCTCTCTCTCTTGTCTCTCTCTTGGTTTTTTAAATTAACGGTTTAGATCAAACGAAAGGTATTTTTGGAAGAGAAAAACTTACCACACAGGATCCTTTCTCATTTTCTATATAATCTGATTTCCTAAAAAAAAAACTCTTCCACTCTCCCCATTCTCCCCTCTCTCTTCTCTCTCCCGAGAACCCTAACCACTCTTTATCTCTCCCTCCCATCGCCGTCGCCTCCGTCTCTCCCTCCCGTCGCCACCGTTGTCGTCTCTCCCGTCGCAGCCGTCGCGTCCTCCGCCTACCACCATTGCCGCGCCATAACGCTCTCCCCGTTGCAGCCCTCTCGCCTCCCTCCAACTCCTGTTACTGCCCTCTCTCTCTCCCGCCGTCCTCCTCTGCTGCCGACGAGAGATAACGACCTCTCCCCTTCCTTCCCTTTCCTCATCCCTTAATTTTTTTCCAGATCTGGGATTTTCCAGATTCCATATCTTGTTTTTTTATGTTATTCTCTAGTGGTACTGATTTCTGTCTAGTGGTACGCTACCAGTTGTAGTGGTACTGATTTCTGTCTAGTGGTACGCTACCAGTGGTAGTGGTACGGATTTTTGTCTAGTCGTACTGATTTTTGTCTAGTGGTATGCTACTAGTCGTAGTGGTAGCGTACCACTACTCACTGGTAATGGTACCAGTGGTATTTGTAACGTACCACTAGATGAAAATCAGTATCACTAGCGCACTGACGGAGTGGTTTTTTTGCAGATGGCCGGAGCGAGTCTGATTGGAGGATTGCACTAAAAACAAGTCGCCGGCCGGAAAAAGTTTGGCGGTCGGAGCGAAGAGGTTGCTGGAAAAGGAAGAGAGAGACAGAGAGATATATAAGTCTATTAATTGTAGAATTTAAATTAAAAAAGTATTTAATCTGGATTTTTAATTTTCAATATGTAATTAATACAAAAATAAATAAATAATAAATTATATTTTTATTCATACCCAAATTGCCTCTTGGATGTGAATCTCACCTCTTAACGGAAGTGACAGTAACTCATCTTTTTTAACAGAAAGTCACAGTGAACACTGAACGGTGCGCTTATTGCTCGCTAATTCCTTGGGCCGGTCTAGGTTTATCTTCCAATAAATGGGCTCCAGGAGACCAAAGCCCAACCATTCCCTACCATATAGGCTCCTCGATCCCAGCTCTGACTATTAGCCAGTTCATATTGATACTCGCAGAGTTGTTTCTCTTTCTCCTTATTCACGGTACTATCGTCTTGCATCTGCCGCCGCGCCGGTCGTCGATCCCCATGGCTTCCGCCGCCGCAAATCGCCCGCGGAATAAGAAGAAACCTGAATGGCCGAAGCTCCGGTACGGTATTGGCCGCTGCAAACGCTGCCGGGAACTTGATAAACTGAAACTGAAACCCAAGCCGGACGACAACGATTACATATGGCAGGACGACGATTTCGGGGGCGACGAAGAACTAATGCCAAGGGTCATTCATTACCGGAGGAAATGCGAGGTCACCGGTGTAAGCTACCCAAAACCGATCATAATTTTAAATCCAATTTTCATATTAGGGTTTCGTATTGTTGTTTTTTTAATTACTTTTTATTTTGAATCCGCTTTCATAAATAAGCACAAGGTTTCAATGTCGATTGCCCTCCATCATCCTTACATCTATCGTAGAGAACATTATCATACGAAAGATCGAAATTTCGACAAAAAAGTTGAGAGGGATGTCAAATTTGTGGTCGACACATACAACCAACAAAAGATATTATGAGAAATTTTACAATGCTATATAGTATTGGTGCTATAGGATTTTGCCTTTATGGTACAACTTAAAATTGTACATTTATGTTATGGTACAACTTTAGATTGTACCTATACTTTTTGTACAAATTCTTTTATGGTACAACTTGAATTTGTACATTTATGTGATGGTACAACTTCAAGTTGTAAAGTTGTACCATAACATAATGTTACAAATTGCTTTATGGTACAACCTAAACTTATACATTTAATGTTATGGTACAACTTTAAGTTGTACATTAAAGCACCAATACTATATAGCATAGTAGAAGGGCTCAAGATATTATATGTTTTTCTTATATTCCATGGAATGCTTACATCATTAAATATGGTTTGCGTTCTATCAAATCATGTAGGGCCAAAACTTGATTTTACTCGGCATTCGGAACGTAAATGTCCTGCCTGTTAGTTGTTGGTACTCCTTCTACGTAACTTTCGAAGGCTTCCAGGAGTCTCATCCTAAGCGGGATGAAAATAGTTATGTTCATAGTTACCAAACAGTGGTATCGTATGAACGTTGGCGGCCCGTCCCCATTTATAAAATCGATATCTTCAGGAAGAGTAACTCAATTGGCAGAAGTAAATTTCCGAGCACGAATATCTTGTACATGCACTTCGTTGTTCAATTTATTAACTAAGCTATTCGCTAACATAAGGCCTCTCATTGTATATTTGTAGATGAGGATTTGCTACCACTCGATCCCTCTGACATAGAAAGTACAAGGGAGTTTTTTTTTACAAAAGATAATCATATATTGATTCACAAGAAAGTCAGTTACATCCTGGAATTCAGCCAGGCCTGGAAATCAAAAACACGACACGTGGTTGGCAACAATGAAAGGGCCTTTCTAGCCACTAAATGGGCTACCCTATTGTGACGCCGACCTACAAATCGCACACTAAACCCTGAATGAAAGGCAAAATAAGAAACTACTTCTTCAAGAACAGCCCCCATCCGGACATCACCAAGAGTTGATGTGGACCTTGGATTGAAAAACCTTAGGGGAGCGCTAGTTGTTGATGCTAATATTTATTTGCCTTTTAAGGAGCTAGGAATGAAATTATATATTTAGTACATTACAGTTTTTGTGAGACAATTAAGTTTCGTGTTTCAATATTCACTTATAAAATTTATATCAACCACACAATCCTATTAATTATTTTAGTACATTTATGCAAATAATCTATCTTTTTACTCAATTTTGAACAATCTTATCTAGCAACTAATCAAATCCTACTGGGTAGGGATTTCCTTACCGTGTCTACACAATATATATGAAATGGAATGGGTAAATTGTTCCTTATTTCAAATTCCATAACTCCAGATGAGACAACATACTCCAGAGAAACAACACGATGAAACAAGTATCAGATGATTACTACAATAAGTACGATAAGCCTACCGTTTACCCCTCGCGATTGTAGATTTAAGAATTGTCTGTAATATCTTATACCGACTAAACTAGTCCTGGAGTACTAATAGGCAAAATACGATTTAAGATTTGTTAAGGAATGGAGTGGCGGTTGGAAGAGTTCCCGTTCGATGTGGACACTCTAATTGCTAGAAGTCGCGAATTGGGCTCCTTGTTCAATTTGGAGCATGAGGATGGTCAAGCAGAAGCTGAGAGAATTATCGAGAATAAGGCCAGGATCTTACATCAACGAAAAGTGAGACCACACAGGTCAAAATTAGAAATGGAGAAGCGCAGGTTAGGGCTTGTAGAATCTCCAGCAATTGGGTCCAGAAGAAGTCAGAGGATGGCAGGGGAATGTTCTACTTCTAAGGTATGATGAACCAGTCTATTATTGTGTGGAATGCTAGAGGTCTGGGTGATATAGTAAGAGGGGAAGGGTTAAGAGGTTACTTGCTCAAAGAAAGGCCAGTATTGTGGGTCTTGTTGAAACCAAGTGGAATTAGTGTAATGAGGAGCTTATTTCGGATGTCAGTGGAAATAGGGACAGGGGATGGGCAGCCAAGAAAGCTGCTAATAGTGTAGGAGGAATCGCCATTCATTGGGATAAGAGTTGCTTCCAAGTCCTGGAAACTAGAATTGGAACATTTTATCTTCTTATCAATCTTCAAGAACTGAGCACGTTGAAAATCTGGTCTCTTGCTGTGGTTTATGGTCCGCAGGACAGAGCGGATAAATTGACCTTCATTCGGGAGATCCATGACCTTTGGTTCAAACACAGAGACTCCACTATGTATTGCTGGAGACTTTAACTTGGTGCGTAACCACGATGACTATAGGGGGGTTAGACGGAATGTAAACCTTATGGAGGAATTCAATGACTGTATTGAGAGTAATGCTCTTATTGAACTCCCACTCAGTGGTAGTTTATTTACTTGGTGCAGGGGTGATTGGACTAACTCTATGTCTCGCATTGATAGAGTCTTTGTTTCCTCCGATTTCAACAGCTTGTTCTCTAATTGCTCTTTGATGGCTCTTGAGCGTGTTGAATCGGACCATAACCCTTTCCTTATCAGATGGGGAGATTCAGGGAGAGTCAAAAGACCATGGAAGTTTGAAAACATGTGGCTTCATGATTAGAGGTTCTTTGCGGAAATGGAAACGTGGATGAGGGTTGCTATTGAAGGTAGAGGGGCAGCCTTTTGGTGGTGCAAGAGATTGCAGAACCTGAAGGGTCTTATCAAGGAGTGGAACAGGAGGGTCTTCGGAAATATCAACACTCAGATTGAGGCAGCCCTGTCCAGGATTAAAGAATTGGATTCGACCGAGGAGTGTAGAATCTTGAATAATAACGAGGTGATGGATCGACAGGGGTATAAGATGGAGTTGAGTAGACTTCTTTTTCCCTAGGAAATCTCATGGAGGCAGAAAGCAAAGGAACACTGGCTGAAGTTTGGGGATGATAATACAAGGTTTTTTCATGTGATGGCTAATTTTAAGAAGAAATTCAACATGGTTGAATGTTTAAACATTCAAGGTGTGAGGTTTGAAGGCAGGGAGGAATCGGCTATAGGGGTGGTTGATTTTTATATTTATTTCTACAAAGAAACTGTCGCTAAGCGCCTTTTCCAAGAGATTTTGGGACGAACAGGTTGAGCAATGCTGAAGCTAATTCCCTTGTGCTTAATTTCTCTGAGAGTGAGGCTTGGGAGAGTCTTAGGGATAGTGATGGGTGGAAAGCACCGGGTCCTGATGGCTTTTCGTGGGACTTCTATTAGAAGTGCTGGGCGCTTATTCGTATTGAGATCCTTTATGCCTTGCTTGAGTTCCATGACTCTGGCTCTTTGCCACTCTGTGCCACACACTCTTTCTTGTGTCTTGTCCCAAAGAGAGATGTAGTTGAGGACATAAAGGATCTTAGGCCCATTAGCTTGATGGGGAGTCTAAACAAACTTATCAGCAAGATTTTGGCTCGAAGGCTAAGCTGGGTGCTCCCAAAACGAGTTTCTCCTTCTCAGCAAGCCTCGGTTCGGGGAAAGCAGATCTCGGAGGCAGGTCTAATAGCTTTTGAGCTTCTGGACAGCAGAAAGAAAAGCCGGAAACCGGGTTTAATGTTTAAGCTTGATATAGAGCGTGCGTTTGATAATGTTAGTTGGAGTTGTTTGTTTAAGGTTCTCTCGGCTTTGGGGTTCCCAAGGAAATGGGGTGAGTGGATCCGTGGGGCAATGTGCTCGCCGGGTATTTTGACAATTATTAATGGAGAAGCCAAAGGGTTATTTAAATCTGAAAAGGGTCTTCGCCAGGGAGATCCGTTATCGCCGGGCATGTTCGTGCTTGTTATGGAGGTGCTCTCGTTTATGTTTTCCAAGCTTAAGGACGATGGCAAAATCAGGGGTTTCTGTATGGATGGGTTAAGAGGGATTGGGAGGTCACTCATTTGTTGTTCGCAGATGACACTCTGATTCTTTGTGATGCATCCACGGAACAAGTGCTAAACATTCTGGCTACTCTTGTTTGTTTTCAAGCTATCACATGGCTTAAAATCAATCTTGATAAATCGGTTATGATCGCCGTTGGTGATGTTCCAAATCCTGACTATTTTGCTGCTGTGTTTGGATGTAATTGGACTAGAGATGCCACGAAGTACCTGGTGTTCCCTCTTGGAGCTAAGGTTAACTCGAGTGCTATTTGGGATCCAATCATAGAGAAATTTGAAAAGCGTCTCGCAGGATGGAAAGGAAGGTATCTCTCGCTTGGGGGTCATTTGGTTCTGAACAATGCAGTTTTGGTAAGTCAACCGGTTTATTACTTCTCTTTGTTCCATGCCCCTAGAGGAGCAGTAAAGAAAATGGAAAGAATTCAGAAAAGGTTTATTTGGTGTGGAGCTAGAGAAGAGCGTAAGATGCCTCTTGTTAAATTTGAGTTGTGTAAAGCCTTGAAGGAGAATGGGGGTCTTGGAATTAAGGATTTAAGATGTTTTAATAAGGCACTTTTAACTAAGTGGCTGTGGAAATATGCTAATGACAGAGGTAGCTGGTGGCGTGAGCTAATCTCTAAGAAATACCCGTCTGATTCAGAATGGTGGAGCAAAAGATGTAGGAATGGTTATGGAGGGTCGGTTTGGGCCAATATTACAAAAGAATATGAGACCTTCTGGAAAGTATGTCATATTGAACCAGGGAGTGGTGCTTGGGTGTCCTTTTGGAGAGACTGCTGGGTTCCAAACCATATTTTGGCCGAAACTTTTCCAAGAGTTGCTGCTGCCATGCCTGATGCCCGGGTGTCGGACCTCGCTAACACCACAGGTACGCATACAGATTGGAACATTGAACTTAATATTACTTTGAGAGGGGGGGGGGGGGTTCAGAGTGAGAGATCTAACTTGTATAATCTTATTGGTTCTGAGGCTTCTAGGCTTGTCCCTTTTGGGCCAATTAAGTTGGTCTGGTCGGCAAAACCAGATTGTGTGCTCTCTGTTTGTCTCTTGTACATGCACTTGATTCGTGGAAGCTTCCCTGGCGTGCCTGACTTCCCGAACGATTCTGTTTGGCGCAGTGTTGTCCCTTCCAAGATTCGAGCATTTATGTGGCTGGTGGCGCACAACAAAATTCTTACCTTGGATAATCTTCAGAGGAGAGGATGGGCCTTTGCCAATAGATGCTCCTTGTGTCACAGATCGAAGGAAACTATTAATCACTTGTTCGTTGAATGTGCCTACACCAAGCAGATTTGGAGTGCGGTGGGAAGCAGATGCAACAATCTTATTCTTCCTGGGAGCGACATCCTAACAACCATTAGGAGATGGGACAGCAAAAAATCGGATAATATGAATGATTGGATTATTTGTGGCGCTCTACATGTGATGTGTTGGCAGGTTTGGAGGGAAAGAAACCAACGCATATTTAGAGATCAAGGTCTCGATCCTGATGTTGTTTTTCAGAAGTCAATGGCCTCAATTTTGGATGGGTTGGTCGGTCATGGTAGGATCTGCAAGGAACAAGGTTGGGAATGGATGGCAAGCTTGAGAAGTAGATGACCTGTAGCCTTTTTGTTTTTGTGTTTTGTTCGGTGATGGTGTCCTGTTCGGGGGTGCTGCTGGATGGGTCTGGGAGTGTGGTAGGGGATGGTCTGGTGACTTATCTATGATTTTCTTGCGGCCTGTTGTTCTTTCTTCTGTTTGTTTGTTTGTTTTTTTTTGGTTGGGGGCTGCTTCCCCTGGGTCGGGAGTCTGCACATCTTGTGCGGCTTTCAGACTCTTTTCCTCCTTTGTTCTTCTTTTCAATGCATCTTTCACCTTCATAAACAAAAAAACAGCGGCACTGTAGTATTGACCTTTTCTTTTTGGTTAATAGATTTTTATGACCTGAATTTTTCACATAATCTACAAAATATATAATTTCAAAACATGGTTTGGAATTCTTCCATTTCAAATTTCATTGCCTGAGAGTGATTCTAGAAAGGTTATTTTTGTCATTGCACCCAGTTCATGTTTATATATTAAAAATGTTATCATTAGAGTTTAAACCTTGGTCACTTGATAGAAAAAATAGCAGGATAACCAACTAGGCTACATTTCATTTATTGTTATTTCTTTGATTGAACTCTAGGAATATATTTCGTGATGATGCTTCTATATTTATATTTTATCTTAAGCTATTTATA